AAAGTTATGTGACTGTTAACCGATTTTGAGGTTTCCATGTCATGTTTATATTCACTTCCTTTATATTTTTAGACACTTTGAGAAAACGAATATTATGTTTCAGAAATGTCTTTTTGTGTTGTAAAAGACTATTCTGAAATTGAAACCTGTCTCTTAATCACTGTGTGTGTTTAACTTAGATTCTCTTCTCCCGTCAAGCTGGTAATAATTTGATGGTGCCTTAGACTTGGGCAGATGAGTTACCCCTTACTGATCATCCAGTGGATTGTGGGTACCACCTCTGTTGGGTGTCAGCCTTCCTACTATCCCTGTCCAGGAACGGTTACCACAGCCTGGTTTGAGAGATAAGGAAACTGGAGCTCAGAAATACTCCTGTTTGGTTATCAACGGCCAATACTTAGGTGGGGGGTGGCCAGTTGCTGGAGTTCAAATCCAAGACTGTTGAACTTGGGAACCCAAGTTCTTCCTTGACTCTCACCCATCCCCTAAAGCAGCAACACAAAGCACTGTCATGTGGTCCTTTTAATTTGTTGAATTTAACAGATCTTTTAGAGTCATAGAAATTATTGATGGCCAGAGAGATGACTCAGCAGATAAAGGCACTTGCTGGAAAGCCTGAGGTCAGTTCCCAGAACCCACCTCTAGGCAGAAAGCACTGACTCCAGGTCTGCAAAGGCCGCCTTCTGACCTCATACAGCACACACACAATAGCGACTAATTAAAAACACAGTAAACTTCTGTTTATATGGATTATAACTTTTGATGTTTACTATATACAAATTTAAAACCATGAAACTTAACAACATATTTACCTGCCAAGCCGTTTTAAAGGCCTATAATGAATCCATTGTGTGTTAACATAAATAACACTTTTATTAAATATAGTTGTTTTCCAAAACAGAAAACTGGGAGTAATGTTGTGTTTCGATGTTCTTGTTGTCTGTATTATCAGCTGGATGTAAGGCAGCCGGGCTCACTCCCGCCTGGTGTGCAGTCCTGTATCTGCTGGAGTAGAGGGGCCAAGTCTGGCCTCACACAGATAGGTGTTTGGAAAGGGAAGGTACAGTTGTCACAGTATTTGACGTTATGCCCAACCTTTCTTTTGTTGAGTGTGGGGGGTGTGTATGTTGTATGTACTTGTAAGTGTGTGCAGTTGTCTGTGTGGAGGCTGAAATAGACTTGGGTCTTTTTTCTTCAATCATTTTATACTTTTTTTTTAAAGTGGTCTCATGGTCCTAAAGCTGATCGGTTCATCCAGACAAGTAGGCTAGTTGAGTGTCTGGGGCCTGGATCTCTGCTGCCCCCAAACTGGCATTGCAGACATGTGCCTCTGTGCTTAGCTTTTGACATGGGTTCTGGAGATCTACCTCTGGTCCTGGGGCATGTGGGGTAGACCCCTCATTGGCTGAGCCACTTCCCTAGCTCAGTGGATGTTTTGTTTCTTTGCTTTTGAGACAAGGCCTCCCTATATAGCCTTAGCTGTCCTAAAACGGGCTGTGCAGACCAGGCTGGCCTTAACTTCACAGAAATCCACCTGAGTGCTAGGATTAAAGGTGTGTGCACCATGCTCTGCCCAGTGGAGCTTCTTACAGGTTGTCTGAGCTGTAGACCTGAAGTTCTACTCATGAGCGATGAGGACTCTGTCCTGTTAACACTCTTTGCTTGCAGTCTTTCAGAAGAATTTTGAGAAATACAGTATATGAGGAATATCCCCTCTGCAACCAATCCACACAGAACCAACCTGTTCCTCTCCTTCTGTGGGAGGTGAGGTAGGGTTGGTGAGTAGAGGGGACTGAGCAGTTCACCTCAAGATGATCAAAGCCATGAAACACTGAGCAGCTGCTGTAGTCCGTAGGAGACTGGGGTGAGGGGCAGATGGACAGTGGGCTACTGGACAATGAAGCAGGAAAAACGTTTGGAAAAATCAGTGAAGTCCAAACAAAGTGTCTGGAGTTGAGACAAAATATATCAATGGCAGTGTCTCAGTTTGACACCGTGTCATGATAATGCCAATGGGGAACCCAGTGGTGAAGAGTGGTGACTTTTCTGCAAGTCTAAAAGTGTTTGCTTTTTTTTTTTTGTTTTTGTTTTGGTTTGTTTAAATTTTGTTACATGAATGCTTGTGTGCAGAGAGAAAGTGCAGGTGTGTATATGCAAAGGCTGCTTTTTTTTTCTTTTTTTGAAACACTATTGCTGTAGCCTAGGTTAGCCTGGAACTCATGGCATTCCACCTGCCTCGGCCCTTACTTATCTGCTAATGTTAATCTTTTTAAAGTCCATTGTGGGGCTGGAAAGATGATGGCTCAAGGGTTAAGAACATAATGTTCTTCTAGAAGACTCTAGTTCAGTTCCTAGCACCCTTCTTGGGATATACAAACTGCCTGTATCTGTTGTTCTAGGGGTTCTGATGCCTTCTTCTGACTTCCACAGACAACTGCACTCACATGCACAGACCCACATAAAAACACTCATATAAAAATAATTTAAAATTTAAAAGGTCCATTGTTTCATCTAGTACTCAGGATTGTTTATCCATGCATAATTCTCACATTATTGCCATAGCCAGTTGAAAAATTAGCAGGACTGGAGAAATGGCTCAGCAGTAAAAGCACTGGCTGCTCTTCTGGGTTTGATTCCCACGTTGGTGGCTCACAGCTCTAGTCCCAGGGGTCCAACACCCTTCCCTGATCTTCATGGGCACCAGGCATCACAGTACACAGGCATACATGCATGCAGAGCATCCAGGACATAAAATTAAAACATACAAATATAGAAAGAATTGGCTCACCTAACTTTGTATGTCTTTCAAAAGTTGCTGCACCAGACTATTCATTGTTTTAAAGGTAGCATACATTACTGTGACCACCCATTCCATCAAAGAAGTATTTACTGAAGGCTGGGGAAATGGCTTGCTGGTTAGAATGCCTGCTGTGAAATGGTGACACCCTTGCTCTTAGGAAGCAGGGCTTGGGCCTGGCAGGACATAGGGCCTGTAACACCAGTCTTGCTCTAAGGACTGACAGGCTGGTAATCTAGCCAGTCTAGCTTCAGGTTCAGTGAGACGCCTTGTCTTAAACAGTAGGAAAGTATCAAAGAAGAAGAGATACACTTGGCCACTACAGGCACACTCGTGTTTCACACACACACACACACACACACACACACACACACACACACACACACACAGCACACAAAAGACTTTACTAAGAAGGTATCAAAGTCATGATAATGAGCCCAGCAGTGGTGGCACAAACCTTTAATCCCAGCGCTCAGGAGGCAGAGGCAGGCAGATCTCTGTGAGTTCAAGGCCAGCCTGGTCTGCAGAGTGAGTTCCAAGACAGCCAGAGCTGTAGCACAGAGAAACCCTGTCTTGAAAAAACAAACAATAACAAAAAACAAAGTCATGATAGTGGATGTAAGTTTCTTAGACTTTTAATTTTCTGCTGAAATTACAATTTTTTAATCATTAACATCAAATTCTGCCCATGGTTTTTCTTTTTTTTATTTTTTAATATCATTTTTATTTTAATTTTAAATAGCTTGTTTTACATGTCAATCAGTTTACTTCATTTATTCCCTTCAAAATGTCTACCAGACACCCATGTCTACACAGCAGTTTGTCATGTGGTCGTTCTATCAACTAAAAGTGATGTTTAATGAAATCAACTTGGCCTGGGTGGATGTATGCTCAGTGTTAAAGCCTTTGCCTGGCATGTATGAGGTCCCGGGTTCCTTCCCCAGCACCACAAAACGTAAAGTGTATTGAAGGCAATTCACAGCCAAACCACACGTGTGCCTTTCTCTCAAGACAACCGTTGTTACGTAGACTGCGTTGTGTGTCTCAGGTCAAGAAGAATGTCCAAAGAGTATTGGTGTAAGCATCTAATTTGCACTGCTATGGTGAGGACCTTCCCAGAGATAGGGCCTCTCCCCTCCTCCTGTGGTGTGTGCTGGTGGGTAGTGAGGCTGCTGTTTATTTCTGTGGTGGCATTCTGGGACAAGCGAGGGATCTTTGCACTGTGGTCCACAATCCGCACAGTGGAGAAGGCCAGTAACATTTTAGTACTGGAGAGGACATAGCACTGCCTCAGGGGTCTTGGACCTCCCTGGAGATGCATAGGTTTCTCTCTCTTTGAGAGGACTGTTAATGTATCACAGAGGAGGAGCTGATGGTATCGAATGCCACCTCCACTAGGAAGCAAAGAGCTAGGTCCAGGGCAGCCTGTGGACAACGGTACCCCTCAGTATCACTTTGGTGGCTCAGGAAGCCTGGTCCATTTGGTTGTGGAATTGGCAGCACTGTTAAATGCTGAAACATAGATTTTAATAACTCACTATCTAATTTTTCTGAAAAAAAAATGCTGCCAGGGGACTGTAGACCATAGCTCTATGAGTAAAGGGCTCTGCTACACAAATGTTGGAAACTGAGTTGGGCAGGCATGGTGGCCCCCACAGGCAGAGACGGGAACCCTGGGTACTAGCGAGATTCTGTGAGCTCTGGGTTTAGTGGGAGACCTTGCCCCAGTAAAGTGAAGAGTGATGGAGGAGGCTGCCTGTGTCAACTTCACATCTTCACACACTTGCATGCACACATACATGCCCACACACATGCAAGCAGGCACACATGCACATATCATACATACATACACACAACATACATACATACATACATACATACATAAATACATACATACACACACACATACAAATGAAAGAGAATGCCAGGTACAGCTGTGTGCTTTTTAACCCCAACTCTGGGAAGGTGGAGACAGGAAGAAGGATCCAGGGGTCCTCAGTGGCCAAACAACCCAGAGAATCATCTAGAGAGCCTGTCTCAAAAGTAATGTGGAGAGTGATGAGGAGGACGGCCAGTGTTTGACCTGGCAGAGCGATAAAACAAACAGGGCCCAAGTTTGCTCCCTGATGGTCATAAGGTGTCTGAGGAGCCTGCTAAGGAACCTCGAAAATGACCTCTGCCACTTTGTCTTCTGTCTTTAAAGGTAAATCTCACCTGGCCATTGTGCAGCGAGTGAACAACGAAGGGGAAGGGGATCCATTTTATGAAGTTCTAGGAATTGTCACCTTGGAAGACGTGATTGAAGAAATCATCAAATCTGAAATCTTGGATGAGACAGACCTGTACAGTAAGTAACAGTGTCTGTGTGTCCCAGACCGTTAGTGCTGACAGTCTGCCATCTAAACACTTCTCCCCGTGTTGGGCTCTCTGTTATAATTAGGTGTGTGTGCAGGTTGTGTGCTGCCTCTCGGTGTCGCCTAGTGCCTTCACAAGTGGAAGAGGCAGATCAGGGACGGTGAGTACAGCTTCTCTTCCGTAGGCAGCTTCTCCTGGCCATGATTTCACACCCAAGACACGAAACTGTTTTCAGACAGTTTTATAACCTTCTACACTAGCAAAGTGTTTCCAAATAATTTTGTTTCTCCTTGAATTTATAATTCACATATTTAACAAGAGAGTTTGTTTAGTTAAACTGATAGATGGCAGCTGATCACACACCCTTGTTCCAGAACCTATGGATGGGGGCGATGGGCTGAGCAGGGACAGTTGTCTTGGGCAGCAATGCTGGTGTGGCCCGGGAGGGGCACTCAGTGATGTGTGTAGTGAGAATGCCCCGCTGTGGAGACAGCTCGGGTGGTAGAGTCATTGCTGTGCACACATGGGGTGTGGCTTCCCAGCACCCACATAAAAGTTGGGGATGGTGTTGGTGCCAATGATTCCAGTGATTTAGGCAGAGACTAAAAAATGTTGAGGGGGCAGTGGCTCCTCCAACCAGTTGGTGAGCTCTAGGCTCAGTAAGATACCCCCTTTCCAAGATAAATAAATAAATAACAAGTAAATACGGTAGGCAGCAATAGATGAGCACATTCAAATGTTGACCTCTGCCCTCCAGCGATGCATGCACAGGTACATACACCATTCCCACATACACGCAGAGAATAGGGCTTTCTTCTTGTTTGCTCCACGGCCTTCTTTTGAAGGGCAGATGGGAATGGCGAGTGTTTAGATCAGGCAGGGGTAGTGGCAGCTGTGAACCTGCCCCTGAGCATTGGGCCTGCAGCTTGTCTCATTGGCATGCGCAACTGACCATCTGCACAAGGGAACCCCAGCCCCCACCCTCATCCCCTCTTTTATCATATGAGCCTCTTTCTTTTTAAAGTCTGATTTTTTATGTGTGGGTATTTTACCTGCACATGTGCATCCCATGCATGCAGTACCCAAGAATGCCAGAAGAGGGCATTAGATCACCTGGGGCTGGAGTTACAGGTGGGTGTGTGTGCTGGGAATTGGACCTGGGTCCTCTGGAAGAACAGCCAGTGCTCTTAACTTCTGAGGCATCTCTAAGCCCCATATGAGGTTATTTGAAAAGTTAATCTTTTTTTCCAGAATAAGTGCTGATAAAGAAAAACCCAATGTGACAAGACCACAGTTGTGTCTAATGGAGTACACTTGCAATCCCAGTCCTTAGAAGGAAAGCTAAGGAAAGAGAATTTTATGGTCAAAGCTAGCCTAGGCTATAGTGTGAAATTCCATCTCAAACACTACTACTGAGAGAGAGAGAGAGAGAGAGAGAGAGAGAGAGAGAGAGAGAGAGAGAGAGAGAGAGAGAGAGAGAGAGAAATAAAGGACAAGGTCCCAATTGCTGTCTCTGCCCCCAAGGGTTAAAAGTCAATGACTTGGCCTTTTGTGAGGATTCTGCACTCTTATTTCAAGGTATTGTGAAAACTGGAAAGTATAAGTCAATATAGAACTTTAAAAGTTCTCTAATGACAACTAGCTGTTATCGTGGCTGACCGCTCACCTAGATAGAAACTAACCCTGAAGTCTCAAGTTCAGCGTTTCATACCAAGAGGTCTTGTCATGCAACACTTCTCCATGAAAGTTGGAAATCCCTTCTAGATTAGGGGTTGGCAAACCATAGCCAATGAGTGTCTGCCAACTGATTTCATATGTTCTACAAGGCAATAGTGACTTTTCACGATGTTTAATGACAGAAAAAAGAAAACCCAACAGAAGAATACTTACTTTGTGACATGTAGAAATTAAACAAAAAGTGAAGTTTCCATAAAATGTGTCTGTGCAGGCTTGTTTACCCACAGCTGCTTTTGCAGAGAAGCAGCTTCGAGTCAGCAACAAAAGTCGGAGCCTGAGTGCTTCCTCTCCAGCCTTTTCCAGAGGAGGCTGGTTCATTCCTCCTGGATCACCCCGTGTTTGCCTGACCTTGACCATCTCAGAGTCTGGGGCGTGAATGAAGCAGCGGTGATGAACAGACATTCCTGGAAGGAGACTTGTTCTTCTTGAGGAATCTCTTCCTTGTTTATTTTCTTTCACCTGAGGCTGAGAGGCCCTCTACAAGGCACAGACAACTTCCCTCAGGTGTAGCCTGTGGCATTTCTTCCTGGGGAGTGGTTTTGGTAGCACTTGAGGCCAGTCTGCCGCTGTGTGACTCTGTGTGGTCCTTTTGGGGTTTTGTCGTGTCTGCTCAGTGTCCTGCAGGGCCTCTCTCAGGCAGTCCAGTTTCCTGCTGTGACTTATTGTGGACCCAGGAGTGGCCTGTGCTGTCTGCCTGGCCCACTGGTCTCTGGAGAGATCAAATCAGTGTGTTCTGTGTCTCTCATCAATAAAGGACCCTGATTTTGTTTTTTCCTTCCTCATTCCCCTCAGCTGACAACAGAACAAAGAAGAAAGTGGCCCACCGTGAAAGAAAGCAAGATTTCTCTGCCTTTAAGCAGACGGACAGCGAGATGAAGGTTAAAATATCACCACAGCTTCTCCTGGCCATGCACCGTTTCCTAGCAACAGGCAAGTGTGCTTATCACAGTATGAGATCTGCAGGCCCTGGAGCCTTCCTCACCACACTGACTGGGGGGCTGGGGGGGGAGGCTGGGAAATGGGGTGACAAGTAATGCCACTTTGTGTTTTGTTTTTTGTTTTTGTTTTTGTTCTGTTTTGTTTTGTTCTCTTTAAATTCTCTCCTCTCCTGTGTTCAGTGTCGGCATGAACCCTCTGAGACATTTGCCAGGGGTGGACCAGTAACTTAAAATTGGTCTGAAAGGTAAGGATGAATGTTAGTGCCACACTGCATGTGTACGGTAGGCCAGGTCATCTACTTCCAGCTAAGCCCCATGAGTGAGCCAGCTGGCGGAGTAGGCTGACAGTGCAATCCAGGCACCACCTCGTTTGATTGGACAGTTGAGTAATTCTCTCTTCAGCTTGCCTTGGAAGAACAGTTGGACACCAGTGGTAATGCAGGTGCTAAAACTCACAAAGAAAAACAGACATGCAGAATTAAATCCTTATTGTTTATGGTTTCGATGAAATGAAAGATCTTTCGAGTTTGGCCTGATTTCTTGGTGGCTTCAAGTCAGATTGTTAACTTGGGCCCTATCCAGAGCAAGTGTCCACATAGTTAAAGCCACCAGCCCAGCCAGCACCGACTGCTTCCAAGTGGTCAAGGTTGAAAGACCTAAGAGACTGACTAATCCTTTCACATCCCCAAACGGTCCTCTAAGGTGAAGGGTTAGCTCTGTTGGCCAGGGGAAGTGTGAGAAAAATCTGGAAGCTCCCAGAAGCTTGCAGAAGACATCTGTTTCCAAGATAGGCCAGTAAGTTTCAACTACATGCAGTGTGTTTATACAAATGCCCTGGAAGGTCAACAGCAACACATGGCAGGATGTCACCTACTGTCAGATACATGGATGTGCTCATTGATCACATTTATGACATGGGGATGTGTCCATGACTTTCTGTTTAGTAGGAACCCCTGGATATCAGAGTATGTGTATGCTAAGACCACACGTACACACGTACACACACACACACATACACAGGCACACATGCCTAGGCAAAGCACTGGAAAGAAATACTCACCAAATTACTCTGAATCCAAGCAGTCAACTTGATTTTTATTTTCTTTATTTTTCCGTGTTTCCCAAATTCCCTGCAATGTGCTGTCTTAACTATGAAAAAGTCACAGACGGGAATCTAGAATCTGTAGCTTTCATTTATAGCATCTAATTAAAAAATAAGCTGAACAACACTGTGCTATGATTCTCTTCCTACTCTGGTATCGTTGTTGCTCTTTGTGGAAGAACCACACTTAAAACTCAGTGTTACCCTACTCTGCCTCTGAGAGACCACGAAGTCCACATTTACGATAGCATCCAGAGTCAGCAGCTTTGATTTTCCTGTTATTTTAAGTGAAGTGACTGTCTTTGTCAGTGCCGACCACCATTCCCTTTTTCGTTGGCAAGTCAGAGTGCATGTTGATGTGTGCACGGCCTTGCTTTTATTCTGAATCTCTCCCTCAGTGGTCCCTGGAATTCCTCAGGAGAGCAGTGTGGGAGAGCCGTAGGCAGAGCCCAGGTCTATGCACTGGCACTAACCCCAAGCCTCACTGCTTCTCGACTGTAGTTCCTCCCTTGGCTGTTGGTGAACAGTCAGACTGTTGTAGCTTGTGCTGAAGAGTGTCCTGACTCAAGGAGGGAGTCTGCTGATGGTTGGTTTTCATTCCCTTCAGTCAGGGATGTAGGGTACTCATGTGAGACAGAAACCAATGGCAGGTTGAAAACAAAAGATTAAAAAGGACCAGACATGAGTATGCCACTGTTGTAATTTCTCCCAGGTAATCTGACCCCAGTGGATCACCAAACGGAAGTCTGGTTCATCTGTGTTTACCGTTGTCGCCAAGTGTTCTCCCGATCTGAGCACCCCAGTTGCCCTTCTTTGAAGTGTAATGTCAAGTTGTGTTTATGTCTATAGAAGTAGAAGCATTTAGCCCATCCCAGATGTCAGAGAAGATCCTCCTAAGGCTGCTAAAGCATCCCAATGTCATCCAGGAGCTGAAGTATGATGAGAAGAACAAGAAAGCCCCTGAGTGCTACCTCTACCAGCGAAACAAACCTGTAGACTACTTCGTTCTCATTCTGCAGGTCAGGAGTCATTCCATGCTTTCGTGCCCTCACTGAGTACCCATCTTTTCTGCTCTCAGGAGCCTGGGGTGTGTATCTATGAGGGGGGCGTTTGGTCTCCACTGACAGAGCTAGAGAGGTGGCGCCACTCATTTTGTGTCTAATACCAAAAGGCGCTTCATGCTTTGCTGCTGTGCTGAGCGAGTCAAGTGAAGAAAGCCATTGCTGACTTCTGAAGTGTTGGCACCGTGCCCGTCCCTGTCCAGGGCTTGGTGGGTGTTTGAAACGTATTGTTCTGGGCTCCTTGGGTTCTCTTTATGTCCTCTTTTCCTTTGTCCAGTCTCATTAGGGCTTGGTCTTTTACAGTAACCAAGACACACTGTGGGTTCTCTTCTGTTATCACCATATCTTAATACCCATCCCAGAAACACCGTGAACCTCCTCCATGTATTGTTTATGTTGATGGTTACTACCGGACTGTTTGCCAGGAGCTGGTGTGGTAATGGCAATGGCACTCCCCTAAAGTAGTAATTAATAGTGACGAGCACCTCCTCACTGATTGACACTGGTGGTGGGGAGGCCATTGTTCCAGCCCTCTTTGAGGACTTGTGATATCACAGTTGCCTACAGCAGGCACTGCCCTTGGCTACCCTGAATCAAACCCTCCTTTGCGGACTTTCATGCCTCTTCAGCAAGTCACGTTGGGACTCGTTTTGTACAAGGACACTAACTGCTTGAGCCCCCTCAGTTTTCGTAGATCCTTCCTGCACATAAACTGGAGTTACCAAAAGCTTAATTAGTACTTGGCAGGTCCTGAACTTTGCATGAGTTCAGCAAGACCCCAGTTACTTCAGAGGATGAAGAACGTCGTTCCCTACTGTATAGGTATCAGGGACTAAGGCAGATTGTGGTCATGTGACTCTGCTGGTGTCTGGAGGCAAGTGACAGGAAGAAAGTCCCCTGGGACATCTGCTTGCAGCTACTGCCTCCTGTGCCGGCTCAGAAACCGTTTTAAAGATGTATTTTTTTTGTTTGCGTGTATCAGTGCTTTGCCTGCATGTATGTCTGTGCCTAGTGCCTACGGAAGCCAAAAGAAGGCATCGGGTCTCCTGGAACTGGAGTTACAGAGCTTGTGAGCCACCATGTGGGTGCTGGGAACTGAATCCAGGTCTTCTGCAAGAGCAGCTAGTGCTCTTATCTGCTGAGGATGTTGACTCCCCTTGAGCTAGAGTTACAGGCGGTTGTGAGCAGCTGCTGTGAATACTGGGAACTGAACTTAAATTCTCTGAAAGAGCAGTGCCTGCCCTTAACCCTGAGCCATCTTTCCATCCAATTAGTATTTCTTAAAGATTTTTTTTAAATGTATGTGTTTGTGTCAGTTCTTAAAAAAAAATTATTGTCATCATGTGGCGGTGGCACACACTTCTAATCCCAGCACTCAGAAGGCAGAGGCAAGTATATGTATCTCTGTGAGTTTAAGGCCAGCCTGGTCTACAGAGTAAGTTCCAAGACAGCCAGAGCTACACAGAAAAACCCTGTCTCAATGTCTATCCCTACCCCCCAAGAAAAATTATTATCTATATGTGTGTTAGTGATGGAGAGGGGGGCACATGTGGAGGTCACTTTCGGATTCAGCTTTCTCCTTCCTCTTTACCTGAGTTCAAGGGCTCATGTCACTAGACTTACTCAGCAAGTGCTTTTACACAGTCACCTCAGAAGCCCCAAACCATGAATTATTAAAGTAAGCTTTATAGAAATTTGGAGCTGGAGGTATGGTTCAGTGGTTAGAGCACTTGAAGCTTTTGCAGAGGACCTGGCTTCAGTTCCCAGCACCCACATGGTGGATCCCAAAGGTTTGTTTTCCAGTCCCTGGGGATTCAATGCCTTCTTCTGATCTCCTCAGGCATCAGGCACACATGTGGTACAGGCACATACATGGAGACAGACATTTGTATACATTAAGTAAATACATCATTAAAAAGTTTTATGGAGGAGCTGGGCTGTGGCTCAGTAGCCAGAGTATACCAGACCCTAAATTCAATCCCCTCCCTGCAGCATGTAAACCAGGCATGGTGGCATGTAATCTCAGCAGCAGGGAGGCGGGGCAAGGAGGATTGGGTATGGTCATCCTGAGTTACAGAGCAAGTGAAGGTCAACCTAGGATGCATGAGACCCTGTCTCAGACATATAGACAAGTAAACATTTTTTCGAGAACGGGAAATTATCCTCCTTTTTATTTATAATGAAGTCATTTAGTACATGATTGATAGGTCATTTAGACACATCTACCTGTGTAGATGTGTCTTTGCGTGTTACATACTGTGGCTTGTTTGTTGAGCTGCTGTCATGGTTTTGTAAGTAGTGTGTGTGGGTGATGAACAGATCTATGGTGGTACTTATGTTGCAGGCATTGGCAAAATCTGTGTTCTTGCAAACTAGCCGGTTATCCAAGGTACCAGAGAATAACAGGACAAAATACCATGCCACCCTCGGTCAATCCGGCATGGCCGTCATCTTTTGCCAAGTACATTCCACCCTAAAATGCTGCCACCCCAGCACAATCCATGCCAGGTTACTGAGCATGCTCTCTGCATTTCATGCAGCCAGAGGAAAGCAGCAATGCCGCCTTCTCTGCTCGCCTGCGTGCAGCAAGATTGTCTTCTGCAACTCTAGAAAAACTCAAGTGATTGATTTGGAAACTAGAATTACATTGTAGAAACACATTGGTTTAGTATTATTTGGCATAGGCTCTTGTGTAGCCTAGGCGGGCTTCAAACTTCCTGTGTAACTGAAGGTGACCTTGCCTTTTCTCCGCTTGTGTATGTGGTATGCACATTCTTGGCGCATGTGTGTCATGCATACGCACACGTGTTAACACGCTTGTAGAGGCCTGAGGTTCACATTGGGAATCATCTTCTGTTGTTCTTATTCACTGCAGCAGGGGCACTCACATAAATGGTTAGTCTTGCTGGTCAGCTGGCCCTGTGTGTCCCTCTGGGGCTGGAGAGAGGTGGGCCACCACCCAGCTGGCGTTGATACGGGTTTCTGGGGCATTCGTGGTTGGGCATCAAGTGCCCAGCCCTCAAAGTGTCTCCTTCCCGAGCTTGACCCTCTGACCCTTCGCCTTCGCCTCCCCAGCTCTGGTTCTGTGTTTGTGCCACTGCACCTGGTTCCCATGGCTCCAAACCAGGCCCGGGCTTCGTGCTGCACAGCAAGCGCTCTGCCAACTGGGATGCCTCTCTCTGCCCATCACTAACATTCTTAGTTTAAGTCCCATAGTAGATAAAACTCAGGGTATCCGAAGAAATGCTTTAAGTGAATCTAATTAAAAGAATGGTTTTTTCTCACATATAACAAAATGTAAATTATATGTGAATGAAACAAAAAAGTAGACTTTTAAAATGTTAATGGATCTTAATAAATGAGATGATAAGTCACAATGAAATCTGTATTGGTTCTACATGTTTTAAATAACTTCTAGGGCCATGTACCTAAAGGTAGAACTGTGGCAGGGACAGTAGCTCACTTGATAGAGTGCTTGTCTAGCGTGTGAGGGCCTGAGCTCCTCCCCAGAACTCCGAGAGCTGAGTGCTTGGTGGTGAGTGTGTGATCCCAGCGCTGGGGTGGCTGACATGGGTGGGGCCAAACAGCCTAGCCTAATCTGTGGGCCCCAGACCAATGAGAGACCCCATCTAAAACACAAGGAGGGACACAGCTTAGAGAATACCCACTCTGCACACAGCTGTGTGCACAGCCGCACACACGTGTGCGTGCCCTGATGAGCACATAGACGTCAGAGGACAGCCTGCAGGGTCAGTGCTCTTCTACTACCATATGGTTTCAGAATCCAACTGTAATCCTTGGGTGTGATGCAGGTGCCTTTTCCTCCTGAGCCATTTTCAGGCCCCAAAGGCACACAATTTCAATGGCGGTGTTTCCTACCAGCAATACCAAGAGCACGTAAACAGTAATTTTAAACTATATAACCAGTAAAATAAAACTAAGATTTAGAGATAAGCAAACATAAAAACCAGAGAAATGTTCTTTTTGGAGGGTTAGTTTTGCTTTTCTGGGGAAGGATATTGTGTACTGGCCTCACACTTGCTGTGGAGGCAAGGATGACCTTGACCTCTTGACTCTCTTGTCTTTGCCCGCAAGTATGGGGATACAGACATGAACCACTGCAGTTTATGTGACTCACAAAAAGGTCATACTGTGCCCCGGTGTATATTACAGTAAATATACAGATGATGATAAACGAGGAATAAGGCAGTTCACGCTGGTGTATATTACAGTAAATATACAGATGATGATAAACGAGGAATAAGGCAGTCCACGCTGGTGCGTGTGCTGGGGTGCACTCTGCTGGAAGAGAGTGCCTGCATGCCTAAAGGGCCGGGTGATCCCCAGCACTGCTAGTGAGTGTGGTGGTGCACACTGGAGCCCCTGCTCCGGGAAGAGAGGCAGGAGGGTCACAAGTCCCAGGTCATCCTTGGCTGCATACTGAACTTGAGGCCAGCCTGAACTGTGTGAGTCCCTGCCTCTTTAAGAGAAGCAAAGTCTTTGAAATATGAAATTAGGCTTTTTAGTTTCCAACTTGAAGTAACATTTTATACCTCGATGTATACAATTATATAATAAATGCATAACTGAAAAGACCAGAGAACATAATCTCGTTTGCGTAGAAGGAAATAAAATGTCACTGTTCCTCCATAGAGCTCTGGGGATCCACTGCTCACTGTCCCACGCCTGGGTGGTTACAGATGTGCACAGCTGCACCTGGCTTTTATTGGGGGTCAAACCCAGGCCCACATTGCTTTCTGCATGCACTTTAGGCCTGAGCCATTTCCCCAACTTCTCTCTATTTTTTATTACAAATCGTTATCTCAATTATTTGTGCAGAGTAACGGATCTCACATTTCTTTTTGTGAATGTGCATGTTTTGACCATTTCCATCCTCAGGGAACTCCTTCTGTCTGCTCTTTTCACATTGTGTTTTTGTTTGTTTCTGCATAGGAGAG